TGTAAATGAGCTGCGCGATGTAATATGGCATTATGGGAGTGTTTCAGCAAACACAGCAGTGGAGCGACCTGCTGCATCAGTGCTTTGAATTCAGCAGAGGCTTGATGAGCATATGGAGCTGGCCAGCAATTATGCTGATAATTACCCATCATATTTCTCCCTCATCCTCTTACTTCATTCACTCTTGTTTTTTTTTTTTTAGGAAACGGGGAACTGAGCAATAAAGAGTTTATCGCCATCATGAAACAGCGGCTGATGCGTGGACTGGAGAAGCCCAAAGATATGGGTTTCACCCGGCTGGTGCGCGCCATGTGGAAATGTGCCCAGGACACTGCCTGGGACTTTGCCATGCCAAAACAGCAGTAAAACCGAGATGGCGTCCCCTCATATGGAGTATAAATAATCATTAAGGGATGAACACTTGGAAGACGCATGCTATATAGTGTGTACTGCTGTTCACCTGCAGCTCTACTCAAGCTGAGCTTGCCATCTAATATTTATTCCTTGCTGTTTGCCAGGTTTGGGGTTGAATGTGCAATTCTGCATACGCTAGAATGTGGACGGCATGTGAAAACACAACAGCAGGAGGTGGCCATCCAGTGCTGCGAGTTCCTATTTGATATGAATGTTGCATTATTCAACTTTAATTTTATACCAGTCTCAATCGCAGCAGAAATCTCTTTATTTTACACTCCTTGAATGTGTCCATGTGTCTTACAGCTTACTGCAGAAACCAATTATTAGAGTACTGCTGAACAGCTTTTTTTTGTTTGTTATAATCTCTCTCTCTACATATGTGTGTGTGTGTGTGTGCGTGTGTGTGTGTGTTGTCACGATACTGGAATTCTAAAACATCCAGTACTGCAACTTTAAAAACGTCCATTTCCCACCAACATTTGAGTGCGTACTTAAACACCACTGACTATGTTCACGTGCTGTAATGACTGATTGGTCGTGAAGGTCATCAGTTCGCCGAACTCACTGCTATTTACTGAATGTAACTACAAATATAGGGACACTGGAGCTTTTAAAATCCACGATTGATCAGCTGGTGTTTATAAGCTGACATACGAGTGATCTGCTGATGAATCGACTGATCTTCATGGCTTTAAAACACTCCTGCGTCCCTGTATCTGTGTTTACATTTAGTAAGCAGTGGTGAGTTCGGTGAACTGATGACCTTCACGGCCAATCACAGACATTTCTGTTGAGCATGTGAACACAGTGGCAAGTCAACAGTGCTTAAATGTTGGCGGGGAATGGACGTTTGTTTGTTTGTATTTTAGTACTGATTGGTATTGAATTCCAGTATCATGACAACACTAATATATATATATATATATATATATATATATATATATATATATATATATATATATATATACACATCAATCATTAATATTTTGAAAATCTCATTGTTAAATGACTTTATTAAAGAATGATGCGGAAAGAATTACACTATTAAAACGTTTTGATATATTGACGTCTCTGTGTTTGTTATGTCTGTGTGTGCCGGTTAGACTTTTTGAGGATGTCTGAAGACCCGATGATTGTGTGAAAGGTAAGGCTGTCTTGCATACATAAACTAATACTTAATCATGCTCGGTGTTGGGTGTAATTAGTTACAAAGTAACTAGTTACTGTAATTAGATTACTTTTTGTCAGAAAAGAATACAGTAAGGGATTACTTTTTATTTTGGGGTAATTTCATTTGTCACTTATAAAGTTGTTTAAATACTGTGCAGAAACTCAACAGTTCTGGATCAAGTAATTAAGAGAGGCAGAGTAATTAATTGATCAAGTTGATTGAACAGGCTTGTGAATCTATAAACTGAGCCAGAAATTTATGTTACTATATGGTGGACTTTAAAGTCTGCTTGAAATCAATATTTACAATGTTTATTTTGCTAGTTCATGTTATTGTTAATGTCAGAAAAATATCTTTTATTATCTGAGAAATATTGCTAAGTTACAAAGCATCCTGCCTATCTCAGATTCAGAAAAGCTAGTTCATGCTTTTATGACTTCTAGACCGGATTACCGTAATCCATGTTCTGTTTGCTGGCTGCCCAGCATCCTCTATTAATAAACTTCAGTTAGTGTAAAATGCAGCTGCCAGAGATCTTACCAGATCTAGAAAATATGATCACATCACCCCAATTTTATCCTCCTCACACTGGCTGGCCGTTAAGTTTCGTATTGATTTTAAAATACTGCTTCTTACCTATAAAGCTTTAAATAATCTACCTCCTGTTTATCTAACCAACCTTCTGTCTCGCTACAATCCAACTCGCTCTTTAAGATCTCAAAACGCAAAGTCTACTAAAGGAGATCGTGCATTCTCATATATGGCTCCTAAACGATAATGTCCGAGGCTCAGATGCTCTCGCAGTTCAAAACTAGATTGAAGACCAATCTTTGTAGTAAAGCACACACTTAATGCATCACAAAACTGTATGATGCGTGAATGTGCTGATGTGGGAATGATGTGCAAAATAAAGCCGTGCCTCTAACTCAATATTCCTTTTTAGTTGGATGTACATCAACATACTGAAACAAAAATCTCTGCAGCTTACAGTTTATGCAGACATACAAAGGGCAACACTCCTTCATCAGAACCACGAAATGATAAAACTCACTAGGATGCATATTTTAATTGATGAATAAGAAACATGATTCAGACGGACACTTGGAGGTGAAAGTGAGCTCTGTGTGTGTGACTTTAAGTATACCATCATTTAATTTCACACTGTTGAAGTATGAGGAGCGTTTTAGACATCATCCCCGGGGCAGCATTAAATTTATCCGAGATGAATTAGCATTTGCCCCCTGCTGAATAACCACCAACCCCTCTCTGAGTTAATGTAAGGACATACCCATGAGCCTCTTCATCATCGTCACATTAAAGTCCTCCAGTACCCATCTGCCATTGAGCTCTGATAACAATAAACTTACAGCAGAGTTGGCTTGAGAAATCTAGGAGATCTAGCTGTTGTACCAGTCGGGATCACTTATAATATAAGGAAATATTAAGTGCGCAGTTAGTGTTAGATAGGATAGAAACTCCATGGGGCCGTCTATGCGTCAAGTTAACCCCCAATACAGGTAACAAAACCAAACCCGAAACAATCAAAAAACTATTTAAATTACTTGTGTACATGGCTAATACTAATTGATTACAGAAATGAGCTAGGAGGAGTTGGGGATGGTGGAAGGAGTGCAGAATTGGTGATCAGCCAACTGCTGGAGAACGGATGTTAATAGACGGATGCGATGTTGCAACTGGATTGGTGAAAGCCTGACAGCTGACGCTTGCTTGACTGACATGTCCTGCCTAAACTAACGTTACGTGCATTATCAATGCAGCTTGAACTTCGTTAATGGAGATTTCAGGGACGTAAACTAAAATAAACGAAAGGTGTAAAACTAACATTTAACTTATTTCAAAAAGTCTGTAGCAGAATTAACATTGACATTTGGCACAAATGAACACTATTGTGTGCAAAAAAAATGATGTAAAAGCCATTGTTTACATGCCTTTATATCGTCTTCAAAATGTACCAAAGTCTGATTTCATCAGTCTTGGCCGTTACAGAATATTTTCTCCTTCAAACTGCAATCTATCAAAACTCTCCCACCATCACAAACATCTGCTCAATCTCATTTACTTGTGCTTAAACTTCTGTTCGGTGCAGTTCCGCTCGCTTGCAAATCCTCTCATTATGGCCATGGAATGTAATGAGTTGTCCCCACTTTGTCACCATATAACTGAAACAGCACTCATCTGAGTTACGTATGACCAGGGCCAGACGGAATCTGCGGATATTTTTTGCTATTTCTGCTGAGAATTTTGGTAAAAATCTGCGGATTTCTGCGGAATTATTTTGGGAGTATCCAGCGGAGTATAACTAAAACCTTAATATATTAAATAAAAAGATATAAATTACTGAATAAATTCAGATTTACACATTTACTCAAGTTAATAGAATTAATAATGGGCTAAAAATCTGAGGAATTCTGCGCGCGCAGATTCCGTGTGGGCCTACGTATGACTAATGTTTACTTTCTGAGTGCTGCATTTTACAGATGCTAAGTAATGAGGTCTTAGGGTGCTTTCACACCTACACTTTTGTTTCGGAACGTATCTCGTTTGCCCAGTTAGCGCGGTTCGTTTGGCATATGTGAACAGGGCAATCGCGCTCTGTTCCGCGCCAAAGTAATCGCTCCGAGATCGCTTGAATGAGGTGGTCTTGGTTCGATTGAAACGAACCCTGGAGCGGTTCGATTGCAGTGAGAAAGTGATCCGATCGCGGTTATATCACAGTGTTTTATGGATATGTAATAGGCTTACGGCTATATGAAGAGAGAATTATGAGTAGTGCCGGAGGTTTCGCGAGTCTCCGGATGCCCGCAAACGAGTGATTATCTCCCGGTAATCTTGTCTCCCTCCCAGTACTCAAATAGGCATCGTCGCGCACCCTTCTTACCCCTCCCCACCGCATCTCTCCTCAGACACGTCACGCGCGCGCACCCTGTCAATCACCACCAAACCACCACCTCTCCTGAAAGCTGAGCGGGACTCTGCAAAATAAACCCTGACACTGACCAATGTGAGGAGAGTTTACTCGCACGTGACTTGTTTTAGCTCTTTTGGTCCGATTAGAAACTTTGCAGTGTGAAAGCGAACTGCACCAAGAGCAAAGAGCAACAATGTAACATTTGTAATCTCTGTGTCGGAATCGATTCACTGAATCGATTCACTGGTGTGAAAGCACCCTTAGAAAGTGATTGAATTTAGGCCATTGACTGGGTTCATGACAGGAACTGGGCCATGAATCACAGTCTTGCCCAAATCTAATCATTCCTTTGGGAACCTTCTTGCAGTGAGGCAACAGTGCTAAGCACTGAGCCACCAAAAACTGAATTAACAAAATCCATTGAGACGTGAATGTTTATAAAGTGAAATGTGATCATTAAAAGTGCCTATTTACAGCATTAAATGTAGATCTGCACACACAGCTTTTATTTTATTGAGCATAATGTGACAAAACCTAAAAGTTTTCAATATATTTGCAAACAGACACCTGTAGTTAACAATTTGCGCTAATTATTGACCCATAAAAATGTGAATACTGAAGCGTTCAAATCAACTTTATAAAACTTGATTCTAATATGCAACTAGGTAAGAACATTTGGAAATGAGGAAAAGTCGAGATTCAGTCCAAGTTTTAATTAAAGGTACAAGACTGATAAAGGAGAGCAAATGACAAAACTCTGCCTAACACAGAAGTGAAACCATAAAACATCCAAACTAAAAGCGAATGAGGATGACTCGAGCGTCCTCCAGTGTGCCTGTCAAACAGAAGTGGGCGGAGTCATTAACTGCATGGCTTCTTTAAATGAGTCAAATCACTAGGCTCAAGATATGTGGATAGGCTAATAAATGTTAACTTAACCATAACAATGACATTTAAGATGCATAATTAAAAAACTAAAGAAAATTACTCCGTCATTTTAAGCATATAATTACCTGTTAGAACAACCGTATACAAAGCCAACTTCAAAACACATTAACAGTGAAGCCAAAACCCTCACAGAAGCTAATCAGAGGCTTTCTATTGGAAAAAATTCAGTGAAGTGGCGCCACCGTGTGGTCACTACAGCTAACTGCATGAAAGACAAATACATGTAACTTCAGGATGACGCACTTCAGTCCAACAGTACTGTTCCCAGAGCAGTGCAGGGAAGTGAGAGTAGATCGGTCAGAATAATACAAAAAGACAGACTGGGAAAGTTCTGAAGTCCATCGAGTTCATGATCTCAGTCGCTGTCGAACTTTATGGAGTTGACTGTGGTGGAGATGGCGCCGCCTCTGTAACTGCCGCGCTTCTTTTTGGTCTTTTCGTGTCGGAAAGATTTGCCCTTGGTAAATTTAAGTACATTGTTGGCTTTCTGGCCCCAGTCTCCGTTGGCTCCCATCTGGAAAAAAACAAGAAGTCAAATCAACAATTGAAACTGCAACCCCAAATCAGAAAAGGTTGAAACTGTGTGGAAAATGCAAGTAAAGAAAGAAAAAAAGAAGTGGTGATTTCCAAATTTACTTTGACTTGTATTTCATTGCAGACAAAACAACAAACCTTATTTAATGTGTTCCTACTAATAATTTTTTATTTCAATTTTGTTTTCTTGATGCCCAATTCTGATTTATTGCCTTCATCAGATTTTCTTGCCTGTCCGTTTACACGTTTTTTAATTGTGACCCAGATCCGATTCATCTGCTTACACTGGCCATACAATTCACGACGTCGCGCATGCCTAAAGGCAGGGTCCAGCATCTGCGCCACACTAGCCAAAATAGAAGAAATTAGCTGCGTCCCAAATCGCATACTCGTGCACTATTCTACTCCATTTTGTAGTATAAATAGTGCGTTCACACTGAAAACTCTAACAATAATAAGAGCACTTTAATTACCAGGATGATGCACTCATTCAGGCGGGAAAATGAAGTGTGTAATGATGGACACTTCACGCACTCAACGACTGCAGCTTTGCTCACGTAGCAGAGCGGAGCTATCGGACGCACATGTTGAATAACTTTATTTTAGATGGTGAAAGTGAAGTTCTCCTACGAGAGTGATTATAGCGCCTCCCGGTGGTGAATGCGGTTAGATTTATGGCAGGTATTATTTGATAGTTTGGTCGTTTATTTCACTGATTTGGCAACCGTCAAACGTCATCAAAAACAGTTTTAAATTCCGCTTAGTAAAAAAAACATTAGTGCTCCATTTGGGATGACACTACAGTCATATCCTATGCTGTTGAGTGTGTAGGTGCATAAGTACATAGTGCATAGCGTACCAATTGAGACGCAGCTATTGTCTTGTTGACCGGAAGTCATTCATTTATAATGGAGAGTAGTTCGGGTTCCGATCATCTCCGTATGCGGAAAAATCGGATCCGAATTGCGCTGCGCATCCGTTTAAATATTTGAACTCCTGCAACTAGACCGTATGTGACCGGCCGACCAGATGATGTATTACAGTGTTGTCCAAGCAGGTCCGTGCACGCGAAAAGAGAAATACTAGTTTATTTGGTTATTTTTTGAGTCAGAAAAATATATTAAAATATATATCTATATTAAAAAAAACAACATTTGCTTATAAATCCAAGTTATTAAGTAATAAAAATATATATTTTTGTTGTCTCCACATTCCCTCCAATATTTTTAGTGGTCTATGAGTTTCTAGTATTCACTCATTCATTCAACCATGGTAAAAATAAAGTCTCTTGCTTTTGCACCCCTTTATTTCGGACACTGCCAGAACAGCTTCTCTCCCATGGTGCACATCAGAACGGAAAATTCTGTGCGACTGCCACAAGGGGGCGTATTCAAGGGGGCGTATTCAGTCGTGGGGCCGTATTCAGTCGTGTCCAAATGTCATGTGCAGTGGAAAGGCGGCTTTAGTATTCTTAATGTATGTGTAAGATTAATTAATTTTTTTTTTTTTACTTTTTTTTTTTTTTGTTTTTTTAAGACAACAGAAAAGAAACAGAAACAGAGTTTTTCTCCAGCAGAAAAGATCTCTAATGATGCTGTTTTAAATTGTAAACAAATTTGTGCTTTTGAAACTAGGAAAAACAGCAGAAGCCAATGATTCATTTGAATTCTTTAGCCTGACATGCTCCAAAATACTTTAAATGTTTCTCAAAATAAAATAGTTTGAGTTCAAAGGGGATAAAAGTTTGCGTTTTTTACCCAGACAATTAAAAAGAATATATTTTAAAACAGTAATCATAATACTGTGAAACCATGATGTTTTTATCCAAGGTTATCATACCATTAGAATCTTACACCAGCCCATGCCTAGTTGAAAGTACATGTATGTGTAATGCTCAAGTGTCCATAAAAATGTGCAAAACTAAAATAAATCACCATCATCTTACCTTTGCGTCAAATGAGTTGTCTTTGAGACGGGGGTCCACCTCAACGTCCTCCTCTCTTATTCTACGGAAAGGAGCATTGCTGTCCTTTACAAGCCACACAACAGAGAAACAAACAGAACGTGCGTTTGAGTGCATAAGCAAACAGTGCGGGTGGTGTTGATGCACTTCCCGCCAAGCCATTTGCTGTTTAATAGACATTTAATATGTCTAGCATTGATGTCTCTGCTAAATTTGGGCTGTCAGTGAAAATATATGTCTAAGAATAACTCAAAATTAGACTGATCACCAACTAGACCGTTTAAGCAGAATTCACGTGAAGTTATTTGATCCTGTGTATTTGATGACTAGTGTATTTTTGGCCTATTCTTATACATCTGTTAGATACTCACAGACTGCCCAAATTTAATGAAGACGTCTTTATTTAGACATCTATTAGACATCTTTCAGACATCTTTCAAACATCTATCAGACATCTATCAGACATCTATCAGACATCTATCAGACATCTATCAGACATCTATCAAACATCTAACAGACATCTATCAAACATCTATCAGACATCTATCAGACATCTAACAGACATCTATCAGACATCTTTGACATCTATCAGACATCTATCAAACATCTATCAGACATCTATCAAACATCTAACAGACATCTATCAAACATCTATCAGACATCTATCAGACATCTAACAGACATCTATCAAACATCTAACAGACATCTATCAAACATCTATCAGACATCTATCAGACATCTAACAGACATCTATCAGACATCTTTGACATCTATCAGACATCTATCAAACATCTATCAGACATCTATCAGACATCTAACAGACATCTAACAGACATCTATCAGACATCTTTGACATCTATCAGACATCTATCAAACATCTAACAGACATCTATCAAACATCTATCAGACATCTATCAGACATCTAACAGACATCTATCAGACATCTTTGACATCTATCAGACATCTATCAGACATCTATCAGACATCTATCAGACATCTTTGACATCTATTAGACATCTATTAGACATCTTTTGGACATCTTTTGGACATCTTTCAAACTAAAAATGCTTGCTGGGTTGTGTTGAGTTTCCAATTGCCAAAAATTTGTGAAATGATGATACACTTTAGCCTTACATGTACATAAATTTGTCGTTGATTTAATTTCAATCTAATTTCAGCAGCAATTATATTTATTAGATTTATCAATTAGTTCTCCAACTTCATTGTAAATCTCTTCATTTGTATTTTAAAAGATTATCCAAAATGATTATGCTTTTGGTTAAACTAAACTATTAACCTTAATTTTTTAAAAGGTGGTAAAGCACTGTTTTTGTCAACTGGTGGGTAGCAAATCAAAAGTGGGTTGCATGAGTGTTTTGAGCGGGTTTTTGTGCTGTGTTTTTGTGAAGAAGCTGTCAGATGCAATTCAAAACACATCCTCTTTAAAGCTGTTTCAGTAGGAATGTGGAAAGTTGCAAGGGCCTAGTTTATTTTTAATGGGAGAAATGCAGAAATCGATAAAATGTGTGTGAATATTAGATCCTGTGGCCAAAGTAGTTGGGAACCACACCTATAACTTGCGTTATTTTAAAACAAGACATACCAGATCAACAAATGCTTGATTTTGAGTGGTCTGAGTGATATTTATGTGGCATATTGTTTGTCATGTGAATCCACCACCTCCAGACTTCACATCTGAGCCTCGGGTGTGTTTGAATATGCACTGTAGAATCAGAAAGCACTGCTTACCTTCTGTTTAGTTCTGGGAAATGTCTGAGGCGTGGATGTGGCAATCTTTTTGTTTTTGGGGGTCGCCTTTTTTGCGCTCTGTGTACCTGCGATAACCGAAGAGAACAAAAAGAAAAACATGAGTGCTTTGAAATGGCCTTAAAGTCTAAAGAATTAATAGAAATATCAGAAATACAAGTGTCAGAATTGTGTAGTTAAACTGTGATGGTTTCACCTGCTCGAGTTGGTACTAATATTAAAATCCTCCTCAGTCTTGCTGTTCTTTCTTTAGTTTTACAGCATCTAGTAAACAAAATTAATTTATAACCATGACTATATATGGGCTGCACGGTGGCGCAGTTCACCTCCCAGCAAGAAGGTCGCTGGTTTGACTCTTGGCTGGGCCAGTTGGCGTTTCTGTGTGGAGTTTGCAAGTTCTCCCTTTGTTCGCGTGGGTTTCCTCCGGGTGCTCCGGTTTCCCCCGCAAGTCCAAAGACATGTGCTATAGGTGAATAGGATAGGCTAAATTCTCTATAGTGTATGTGTGTGAATGAGTGTGGAAGAGCATCCGCTGCGTAAACATATGCTGGATAAGTTGGCGGTTCAAGTTGGGGGGGGGCATGTGTCCTAAAAGTTTGAACACACCTGGACTAATGTAGTGTAGCGTAACAGACTATATTGTAGTGTAGCATAATGTAGCTATGCTAATACCATTTGTGGCGGCCGGTGTTTCCTCTTCCTCAGATGATTCCTCAGAAGAGCTGCTCTCTGCTTTAGCCTCAGCAGCTTGTTTTTTAGTAGCGGGTGGTGTTTTCGTAGCGGGTGGTGTTTTCGTAGCGGGTGGCGTTTTCGTGGCGGGTGGCGTTTTCGTGGCGGGTGTTTTAGACGGCTCCTCTTCATCAGAACTGCTGTCGCTCGAGGATGAAGACTCTGCTGTCTTTTTAGCCGGAGTCTTCGCTGCAGAAGTCGGGGTTTTTGTCACAGGCTTCCCATTGGCCACAACCGGCTTGGCGGGAGTCTTCTTAGCTTCAGTCTCAGAGTCTGAGCTGTCAGATGATTCTGAACTACTGCTCTCCGCTTTCTTTGCGTTGACTGGAGTCACGGCTGGCTTAGGCGCAGCTTTGGGTGTCACTGTAGTCTTTGCTTGCTTTTCGTCTTCACTGGAACTGTCCGAATCGCTGCTGCTGGACTCGGCTGCAGGCTTACTAGCTGAAACGGGTGGTTTGGAGGCAGCAGCAGGGCTCTTAGTAGCAGTAGCGGCTGCAGGTTTAGCGGTTTTAGCAGCTGGAGTTTCGTCCTCAGAGTCTGAGCTGTCAGAACTGCTCTCTGCTGCTTTAGCTGCAGGTTTAGCAGGCGTAGCAGGTTTGGATGGGACCGGTGTGGTGGTCTTCTTCTGTGCTTCCTCATCTGATGAGCTGTCTGAATCAGAGCTACTCTCCGCTGGTTTAGCTGCAGGGGTGGTTTTGGCCGAGGTAGCCACAGGTTTAGATGCCGGTGTAGTGGCGGCTTTCTTTTGAGGTTTATCTTCTTCATCTGAAGAGCTGTCCGAGCTGCTTTCAGCTTGTTTGTTTGTCGTTTTGACTGTGGGTGTAGGTTTGGCTGGGGTGGGTTTAGATACTGGTGTGGTGGCAGGTTTCTTTTTCGGTTCCTCATCTGAGGAGCTGTCTGAGCTGGAGCTGCTGCTTTCCGCTGGTTTGTTGGTGGTTTTGGCTGCAGGAGGTTTGGCCGGGGCAGGTTTAGATACCGGTGTGGTGACAGGTTTCTTTTGAGGTCCCTCATCTTCATCTGAGGAGCTGTCCGAGGCTGAGCTAGACTCGGCAGGCTTGGCTCCTGGTTTAGGAGTACTCACTGGTTTAGACGTGGCTGCTGGTTTAGCTGGTGCCTCGTCTTCAGAGCTTTCTGAGTCTGTAGGAGATACAACATTGATGAGATTCTACAATTTTCCTTCAACAGCACTTTATTAAACATCTATCATCTCACTTTTACATCAAATCAAACCTGTATAACAGACTTTGGCATACAAAAAAAAAACAATAGTTGAAAGGATGTTCATGTCAATCTTTCCCCCAAGTAATGTGTTAACGTGTTTGCTATTTCTGCCAAAGAGTTTTAACGCAGCTTTTTTTTTAATTGACCAAAAATAAAAACACTGTAGTGATCAACTCCGACTTGTCATTGCACTTAATGTTGGTCTTTTGTTAGCATGAACAATGAAGTTAAATGATGAATGTAATGTCATTGGTAAAAAGTTTAAACATGAAGACTTGGGGTGCTTTCACACCTGTAGATCGATTGTTTTGTTCAGAAACAGGGATTCAAATTGTTATAATGTTAAATAATAGTTATTTAAAATATTTAAATAATGTTCGAGTTAACTCTCCTCACATTGGCCAGGTTTATTTTTCAGAGTCCCACAGGTTTCACTCTGCTGTCATACGTCGTTATTTTAATTTATATTGATGATGAGAAATGAGACATGGGTGCACTTTAACTTTGATTTATTTTTAATGTCGTCTGTGGGTGTCAGAGTGGTCAGACTTTCTCATAGAGAGCCTCATTTCAGTTGTCAAGCTTTGAAAAAGTCCATCTATTGAATCAATCAATCTATTTAAAAAAACGTTGGCTAGAATCCTGCATTATAGGCTTAAAAAAACTGAACTACCCTGATCCAGTTACTATGACCATTTATGGCTGCTTTGACACACTCTACATTGTAAAAGCGCTATACAAATAAAGCTGAATTGAATTAAATTATAGAGAGAAATAACAGATGAAGCGAGACTGCAGTCAGATCATGAAGCAGATCAAAGTTGATCTTTCTGTCAAGGTATCAGTGCAGAAATGAACGAAACAATATGCCTAATACAAAAGATTATAAGATTAATACATGAATAATGATCAGATAGTATTTTCTGTCAGTTTTCCTAGCGAATAAACGGCACTCGACAATATTTCAGCATGCTTTCACTGTCGTATTCGACATGAAACACACATTTACCAGTAGGAATGACATCTTGCCCTACTCATAGTTCTCTCTTCATATAGCCATATCTATTGCTATTACATATCCATAATACACTGTGATATAGTCTGGTTAGTTCGTTGAATCGTTTTGCTTTCTCACTACGATCCATCTTTTTTTTTTTTTTTTTTTTTTTCTCCAGAGTTATTGAGTCGAGACCACCTCATTCAGGCGATCTCAAACCAATTGATTTGGTGCGGATCTGAGCGCAATTGCGGGATTCACATAAGCCAAACAAAAAAAAAACCACACTAACTGGGCAAATGAGACAGATTACAAAACAAACGTCTAGCTGTGAAAGCACATGAAAGAAGTCATGTGACAAGACATCGCTAGTAATTTAGAGATGCACCAATTGCAATTTTCTTGGATGATTCTGATTTCAGAAATTTTGGTGTGACCTGACAATGCCCATATTTGCTGAAAATTAATCTAAGAAATATAAAAATTTCATTAAAAAACAGAACATTTTACATTTAATCCAAATAATTTAAAAAGTAAAAAAAAAAAAAAAAACATTTTTCAAAAACTGCAACAACATTAACAAATTTTCACTGTTTGTAACTAACGTTTTCTATATTTTCTCATTTCTCAAGTTCAAAGACAGTATGCTTACGAAATGTTTTGATTCACATCTGTATGCATTGTTTTGCACCTTTTTTCAATTTGTCATAAGCAGTTTGGTTATCCCCGCCCACCGACATTGATTGACAGGCGCTCATTATCATGCCACAGTATTAACATATGATCAGATGTACAAAAGACAGGATTTACAAAGAAACTGGGATTAAACTGGAAGTCCTCTAATGTGCAAGATAAAAGGCTTATGAATACCTCACAAGTCAAAACAGAAGTTACAAGGACATATCACTTTTCAATTAAATGGACAGGAGCATAGTGAACTTTCAACACATCCCCTTTCATAGTCCATAGATTATTAGCCAATTATACAGGCAAAACACAACATTAAGCTGACAAAATGACAATTACAATACAAACAATTCATGGATATAATGATGACAACCGACCTGAACTTGAGGAATCATCTTTCTTAGCAGGAGCAGCTTTAGCAGGGGTGGCTTTAGCTGGGGTAGCCTTAGCAGGAGCAGCCTTAGCAGGAGTGGCCTTAGCCGGGGTGGGTGGCTCGTCTTCCTCAGAATCTGAGCTTGACGGTGAAGACTCTTTTGCAGCCGGCGTGACTTTAGCTGGCGTTTTCTTAGGTGGTGCACGTTTAGCTGCAGCTTTACCCGGGGCGACTTTAGCTGCAGGTTTCTTGGATTCTTCCTCAGATTCTTCAGAGCTAGAAGATGAAGATTCCTCCGCCGCTGGAGTGACTTTAGCCGGCGCAGCTTTAGCCTGAGCGGCTTTCGCGGGTGTAGATTTAGCAGACGCAGCTTTTGCTGGTGTGACTTTGATAGCTGGCTTCGTCGCTTCATCCTCTGAGCTTGAAGAATCGGAGCTCGAGGAGTCTTTTTTCTGAGCCGGAGCAACTTTTGTGGGTGCCTTCTTAGCTGGGGCTGCTTTAGCCGGTGCAGCTTTGACCGCTGGCTTCTTTGCTTCATCTTCTGAGCTTGAATCTGAGGAAAAAGAAAGCAGCTCATCAACACACACTCAAAATGCTTTGTGATGATAATGGTAGTAACCTGCAAATTAGGCAGTACCAGAACTGTCAGAACTGGATGAGTCATTCTTAGCAGCCGCTTTGGGAGTCACAGTCTTAACTGAAGCTGCTGAAAGAGAAAGTAGGAATCAAGCATAACACATTACATTTTGCTAGAGGACAGACAGAGACAGACAAGCAGATGGATGGATGGATGAGAAGATTAGAAGAGACTCTAAAACCTGAAATGAAAGGGTCAGAAAAGGGAGACAACCAAAATATGTACTGTTGGTGTGCCTCCAGAAACAGTTTGGAGTTTCTCATTCTCATTTATCACACAATATAAATTATGCAAACCAGAAGCCATTAATTGTATAATTATGGATGCCAATGGCTGCTGGTTTTTAATGTTTCTTGAAATATCTTTTGTGTTTAACAAAAATAATTCATTGTCGATTCAAGAGTGCACAATAGCTGAACTCTATAGCTGTGTGTGTCATGCTGCTGGTCATCATATGTAGATGCATTATACAAGACCCTGACAACTCTTACCAGGGGTTTTGACTGGAGCTTGAGCCGTCAGTGTTCCAGGCGGAGGAACGGCGCTGAATTGTCCTGTAAACAGAGATTATCGGTTTAATTTCATGTTTTTTTTTTCAGAATTTCACTTCTAACTCTCATAAGGTGCATCCAAATGTTATTTTTAATATGAATTTTTAATTCTGCTTGCTCAGAAATACTTATGATTTATTGTCATATCAGCAGAATTGGTTATATTCAATAAGGGTGTCACGATCCTCCAAATCCTTGATTCGATTACATTTTCGATTCTAAAGTCACGATTCGAATCGATTTTCGATTATGAATAATTAATTAATAACAAATTAATTATTTGTAGCCTACCGTTTAAACTACCTGACCTGCATGGTCTTTGTTTTACCCATAAACAAATCATACAGCAAATGAATAAAGGTAAGTTACACACATAATTACCACCTGTCAATCCCTTTTTCTGTGGGACTCGTGAATAGCAGTTTTTTTTGTCGACAACACGAACGCTGTCAACATAACTAACTGGAAATGCAAAAGGCTTCCACACTGGCGACTTCATTGAAAGAGGAGAGGGTTTAAGCTCTGTCGACGGGTCTCCTGCGTCTGCACTTCAACATGCCTGTTTTTTTCCCGCTTGGCAAGCCAAGCTAACGTGACATGGGAACGTGGCAGTATCGACGATTCTATTTTTTGATTCGATAATCGAAGTGTAGCATAAATTTCGATCGATTTCGATTAAAAATCGAAGTCGTGACACCCTTAATATTCAAGTGTATTTGTATAGCTCAGTAACTTGTTTCTCCAGGAGAAATTAAGCCCTGGTTATGTGTTCATTCAGTTTGATTCTGCCTATCCCAGCTTCTGTTACTACATGTACAAGTGTTTCAATAATGAAGACTGTTTGAATTTTGTTTTTTGTTCTACGACGCTTCGTTAGCCTTCCTTTGACTGGACGGTTCTCGCAGTAGTTTGACTGTCCTGGGAAAATTGGGACATGTCATCATCCTTATGGCTGACTAAAACAGGGCTATTCAATATTCTGATTGGGCTACAGCCACTCTGAGCCCCAGTTTAGCCTCAGCGTCACTGTTTTTGAACAGCAGAGAACCGAAAAAAACACTTCACAATGAGGAGAGGTGTTTTCCACTAATTAATTCTTCAGCCAATCGAGGGCCCCCTTCTTCTAGCCCCACCTAGCTCTTATGTTAATCCGGCCCACCCTCTACAGTACAGCAGTTAGTGAAATGAGAAAGTTAGGCAATACCAGTCTTGGGTTTCTTAGAAGGAGGAGCATCTTCCTCATCTGAGGATGAATCATCACTACTGGACACTGCAGGGGCCGCAGGTTTGGCTGGTGGAGGAGTCTTTACTGGGACCGCTGCTTTCACTGCGCTCTGTGAGAAGAGTAAGAATATCAAACACTCAATTGCATCCTATTTTAACATCAGGAAATTTTAAAAGAGAGACCAGGCATGCGATCAGCCGAGGACAAAAATGAAGGAAGACAAGACCCCACTCCAGGTTTATTTATTATAGGTTTAACTCAATGTCAGATACACACACTGCTCCTAGATGGCGCCACCAACTCAGTCAGTTTTCGTGTCCACAGAATATATATAACTTTTCCTGTAAGTTAGCTGACTCTCTTCCAACGTGATGATTAACTACTAGTTAGTCAACAATTCGAACTGTAAAAATATTAAGTCCAGTTGAATTGAGTAGCCTAATATACTTTAACATTTCCTGAAAAAAATATCATTCGTGATAAAAAATTAATAAAAAATAGACTCTCTCACTTTCCTTTTCCGTTGGCTTTAATTAATTATAAAATGTATTTTTTATACATTTGTAATATCATCTAACCCCATGACATTTTCAGGTATTAAATCTAAGGTGCTAGGCTGTAGCACTGAATGAAGACATAAGGACAGGTGACTTGCAGAGAATAATAACAAATGTGCGTCCTGCAGATGTATGTAGAATGTACAGAGCGCATGTGATCGTGACATGCAAATGTGAGCATGGAAAAAGTGTGCACAGCCGCAAGCATTCAAAGCAATTTCAGAATCTTGCATATTGTCAGCAGCTTGAGAGAATTGTTGTGTTTCGGTCTCTCTAGTAAAGCCTGATATATACTTCTGCGTCAAGTGACCGGCGTAACCCACGGCACATGCAACGCGCATGGCTGTGCATTTATACTTCTGCGCACTGTGTTGGTCTGCATTAACACTTCCGAAACGCTAGTTGGCAGTGAGGTGTAAATGTTCCTCTGTCGAGTTTCTTCTCTGCTTTTTTGCTTTTCCTGAACACTTCCGGGATGTACAAGTGGCTCAAACTCGCTCATTTTGAGGCAGCAACCGGCGGACGTGCAACAACTTTAACTATGAGGTAAACACAAAACAAAACTTTCCATCCGGAGCTTCTTCACAGGACTCCACACTTGTAAACAATCACTCCATCAGGCTCGCACCATTCACGCGGCTCTCGGTCCCGCCCAGACTCGTCAGCGCTACCAAGCCGACCAATCACAGAGCTTGCGCTACGCAGCGCTGCGACGTGTAGTTACATTTTTTGAGAGGTGCACGTCAGCGATGCCGACGGCCACGACGAAGGGCTATGGTTCAGCACCGTAGCATACGCCGGCGTTTGACGCAGAAGTATAAATCAGGATTAAGACAGTGGACACACTATACCTACACACAGTTCTGTCCAAACAGCTTCTAGAAGTTGATTTGGCATTACAGGTGTAGTTTGTGTTTTAAAGTCTAAACTTGTTTTTCTTTAGCTTCAATTAGCTCAGAAAAATATGTATTACCTGTTTATTTTAGTATGATCATTACATAAATTTTTTTTTTGATAATGAAACTTCATTATTTAAAGTTAGTTATATCGCAAGAAACAGCTAATCACAACACTCAACAACAACATTGCATATTGCTTAATTTCCCAACACCATGCAGCCCTAATTCAGATGTACGATTATGCTGGAGCCGTATATTCAAAGTACCTTCGCTGGAGGCTCATCCTCAGAATCACTGGAGCTGTCCTCACTGCTGCTGTCCTGCTTCTTCTGAGCTGCAGACACCGGAGTGGACACTGTTTTAGGCGTTCCTGTCACAGGCTTAACCACTGAGAAACACAGATCAACATGTAACTGAATGAGAAATGACACCTGAAGTACTAAACAGGCACTGTGATTGAGAACACGGCCATCAGCTCACCTTTTGCTGGAGTTTTGCTGGGCTCCTCTTCAGAGTCGGACTCCTCACTGCTGGAGCTGGTGTCCTTCTTCCTGGCTGCCGCTGCGGGCTGAACAGCAGCTTTCACAGCAGCAGGCTTCTGCACAACAATGTAAGATTAACAAACCAAGATTCAGGAATAGACATTCTTGCAGAGAATTACAAAACATGCTAGGGCTACACAATATTGACATGACATATGATATTCCAATGTTTTGTTTTTCTGCGCTATGCATGAATTTAATGTCACCAGATGCTTTGACTAGCTCTATTTGGAAATATTTAATAATTGTAGATTATAAAAGCATAAAGTATTACCTCCAACGGCTTATTTAAGCACATTTTAGCTCTTAAGTGGCTATTTAAAATACTTTGGATGTTTTATATTTTGTTACAGACATACAGTGTCATCCTGCAACTGTTAAATGCAGCATATAAAATGTCCCAAACACTATTTTTAACGATCCAAAGTGGGGAAAACATTTTGGTTTTACTCTCTGATAGTCAAAACATGTTAAAAAAAATAATCTATGTTAAACATGCATTACAGAACAGTCAGGAAAAAGTGTTTTATGTAAATTCGGACCACGTGTTCACATATATGGACATCATTTTTCGCTAAAAGTTCATCATATCAAAAGACGATACTTCTATTTTTATTCTAATTAAGTTCTAATAAGCCCAAATAGCAAAGAGAAAAATAAATGCATGTAAAAAACACCTTGGGCCTTGAGAGGATCGTATACAAAATTACAAAAATAAATGAACAGCCTAAAGCAAAGACACAAATTAATTAGACGGTGCTTTATGGGATTCTGAAGAGTATAACTGTAATCGGCTACAGAAATTGAATAATCAAATATGAAAACATTAAAAAAACACTTTATAGCAGGGGTCACCAAACTTGTTACTGGAGGACTGGTGTCCTGCAGATTTTAGCTCCAACCCTAATCAAACACACCTGAACAAGCTAATTAAGGTGTAAAGCTGCGGTCACACATACTGTTCCATACTGGCAGTACCATAAACATTACAATAGGTGGGGGCCATGCTGACGTGTCGAAGAAAGGACCAAAAGCAGACCATGCTTTCTATTATAATGTCTATGGGCAGTATGGACAAAAGTTTCAAAGGCAGTGTGTCAATACGATTCACACAACATGAGGTCGAATTTATTTTTTAACGTGCGAAAATTAGGAAGAAAAGTTTCAGAATCAGTGTCCAATAACCTTAACTGTGGGGATGCACACATTACGATATGGATGCTGAAACAATATATTGTGCAGCCCTAACAAATGCTCACATAAACAGCATTGTTTTCCTAACCTTTGCTGTTGTTTTAGCTGGCGCTTCATCCTCCGAGTCACTGGAGTCTTCAGAGCTGCTCTCTTTAGTGGCTACAGCTGCTGGCTTCTTTGGAGGAGGAGCTTTCACTGTTAAAACATGCAACACTTAGGCCCCGTTTACACTCATGCGTTTTCGTTTTAAAATGCATAAGTTTTGCTACGGTTACGACATCCACACTAAGCCAGAGTTCTCGAGCGACGAAAACAGAGCGTTTTGGAAATGCTGGAGAGGCCGTTTTCATTCTGACACGCTGCTGCTCCGTCTCAGTGTGGATGAAGGAAAACTGAGACAGAGGCGGGGCTGCTGAGATTCGCTACCTGATTGGGGCTTTCGTGTAATTGCGTTGCCTTCCCTTATTTGTCAAGCCCCTATCACATGACTATAACACATGGCTATAACGCTACCGGAAGAAAGCAGACCAGCCTTCACCGTTAACAACAACATGGACACAGAAATGGGAGCGTTGCTTGCACTATTGTCTGTTTTAGGCGCCATTGTGCAGTTATTCATTTGTTAGATTTAGTAACAACTCCACCTCGTCGTCTATCCACGAAAATACCTCTCTTGCTTTCTTTGCCATCGCGTTTATTGTTCAACCGGCGTTTGTTGACAAACAATAACCAAATGCCGAGCGAGACACATGCTTCCTGTTTATACTACAACGCGCATGCCCAGAGTGCGCGAATGCTCACGTGATATATGTTTTTAGTGGCGTAGTGTATGTAGTGTATGTTTTGAAACGCTAGTGTGGACGCGGATCGTTTTTGATCTAAAACGCCATTTTAAAACTAAAACGCATTAGTGTAAACGGGGCCTCAATATTCAATATGAACACATACATTACAGTCCAATAGTTTGGGAGTCAGAAAAATCTTTTAAAATTGCTGTTATTGTTGTTGGTAAGACAGGGTTTGTGCAGGTCTTCAATTTAAGCCCTTTAAAAATAATTAAGAAATAAATTTCAGAACTTCTACAGAGCTAAACACTAAAGGATTTGTTCCTAATGGCCTGGTTACTTCTGTAAATAGTTTTTGGACTAACTGAAGATCATTTAAACGGTTGTGTTGCTTGGTTGTTGGCCCGATTGGATAGCTTTATTTGGACATAGGAAAATTTAAACCCGTTTAAAATGATTAAAGACCTACAACACAATATTTCAGAAAATTTAAAACTTGATTTTTTAATTGAAGACTTTTAGACTCCTATAATTAATCCTGTAATAACAAGTGACACATATGTACCTTGTACAGCTTTCTTTGCAGGTGCTGCTTGCTCTTCTTCACTGCTCGAGTCTTCACTACTTGAACTGTCCGCATCTTTCTTTGCTTTCTTGGCTGATGGGCCATTGACGGCTGCAGGCCCACTGGTGACCGCTTTACGCTTTTTAGTTTCTGGGGATCTTAGGAAAACAAATTGTTGCAGTTACAACTCAACAGTGAAAATGACAGCAAAACCACCATGTGGGCTAGACCAGGGGTTCTCAACCTTTTTCACTTCAGGGCCCACTTCTTACTCCTATCATTTTTTGAAGGCTCACCTGTCTGATATTTTCTCTAAGATGTTTGTAAGAAATGCTCATTTAAACCTGTATTTATTAACATATGTGGGAGAACCACAGGTCAACGGTAAGATTGCAAACGACCAGCTTCTGCTTTAAACTGGACTGACTGAATATCTACTATTAAATATATCAAAAATATACAAACAAATGTAAAATACAGTAAACCACTCTTAATCTGTTGAAGCATGTCGATCTGATGGCGATTGAACTTGGAGCTGGATATTATTGAGAGATCGCTGACAGGAACAGTGAACAGCTCCACCAGAGCCCGTCTGAAGCTCATATGCAAGTTTATTTTACAGTCTATGGCAGAAACACCATTGAGCTTTGCTAGATCCTCCTGTATGGGCGCGCGTCTATTATAAAACACTGAACGAACATTCTTTTGGACAACTGCAGATATATTAAATAGTTCACACAAAAATGCGCAAAGAGAGACTTTCACTTCATGCATTGTGAATGAACAGACTTGCGTGTACTAGTTGCAGACACAATCATGAGGCTTTTTTTGCACCAAGTTTGAAGTAGTCAATAAGCGAACAGGAGAAAGTGCATTACTTCAGTCATTTAATATAGCATATTAATAGTAAAATCCTGAAATTCTAGTATAATATTGAGTTACGTTTCATGGCCCACCTGCAGGATTCCTGAGGCCCACCGGTTGAGAATCCCTGGGTTAGATCGAGGTACAGAGATCATAGTAATAATGAAGACACAACATATACATACTTGACCCAGAAATTGAAGATGTCCATAAGACTGTCCTCATTTTGGTCTTGAGGTTTCTGATGAAAACAAAAAGTTGATTGTAATTTATATTGAGTGCATCAAAAAAAAATTTGAAGAACTTAAATATTAAAGATTTAATACATGAAATGTAAACATTGTGTTATTAAACTGAGGTTAAGTTGGTTTTATATTTGCACATTCGTTTATTTTTAACAGTGATAACTTGTGACACATTGTTTACCATACTATTCGGTCTAAAATAGCATGCAAGCATGACTTCAAATCAACGTTAGCACCATTTAACTGACTGTGAACGGTGTTGAACTTTGATAGTAGTTGGCTGCTAATATGATTTTTGAAAGCATGAATGTGCGGATATAAAAACCAACTTCACCTCAAATATTATCATAATGTAAAAGAGTTTGAAGCAGACTTCTCTGTGGTGACACATTGATTAATTTACTACACTTATTTTACATATTAGCTCTGTTGTTCAATTTTATTGAACCAGAGGTGTCCAAACTAGGTCCTGGAAGGACAATGTCCTACATATTTTAGTTCTAACCCCAATTAAACAGACCTGAACCAGCTAATCAAGCTCTTTTTCTAGAAATAAGTTACTACAAACTTCCAGTCAGATGTGTTGAAGCAAGTTGAAGCTAAACTATGCAGGACATCGACCCTCCAGGACCGAATTTGGACATCCCTGGTTTAAACAATTACAATTCATAAATCATGATCAAACCATGGAAAAACAATGACTCTCCAGCTGAGGTAAAGTTGGCTTTATATTCGCACTTTCGTTTATTTTTGAAGAGTGAAAACTTGTGACACGGTCTCTATATTGTTTTCCATGCTACTCTGAATATTTGGTCTGAAATAGCATGCAAGTATGACTAAAACAACACAAGCGAAAAAATAATGTTTTATCAGAATCCTATGACAAATTATATTTCCTTGTTTTATAGCAAATTAGTCAATGGCTCTAAAGAAACATCAGAATCTAAGAAAGATTCTTGGTGTACAGATTTACAATTTGACCTGACAGATTTAGAATGGAGCCAAATATGTGTTAAAGCCCAGAACTTGTCAATTATACTAGATTTAAAATGATCCAATATAACTGGGCAATGCGCACTTATATCACACCTGAAAAACTAAACAAGTTTAACCCAAACATCCCAGATATACATTTCAAATGCTAAAAACATAAAGGAACATTCTTTCATTGTATCTGGGAATGCGAGTTGATTAAGAATTTCTGGCAAAATGTAATAACATTAATTTCATCAATTATTTTAAAACCAATATATGCGCTTTGGGTTTATTTACTGTAGGTTTGTCATTATCAGGTTATAAAACTAAAATGATTGATATGTGTCTTGTTATTGCAAGGCGTTTGATAGCACTCTATTGGAAGAACACAGAAAGTCCATCGATTGATCACTGGCTAAAAGATTTGACACATTACATTGCACTGGAAAGAATAACCTACAGTATAAAAGGCAAATTAAAGGAGTACCATAAAATTTGGGATCTGTTTATACAATTTTTGAAACATAACTATACAATGGCACAAGCAAATACCTCTCACACTATTGATTAATATATGTATATGTGTATTTTTATTTGTGGAATACAGTATGTTTTTCTTTGCCTTAGCCCATGTATAACGTTACCAATACATCTACCTGCTAAACTGAACGTGGATGAATTGGGGGTGGGAAGGTGGAAGAGTTAAAATGTAAAAAAAAAAAAAAAAAAAAGAGTGTATTTTCATGTTAAATTTCAAGTGTTTTTCTCCAATAAAAAATGTTTTAAAAAAACAACCAAAGCACTAGTTACTTAACTGTGAAAATGCTGTACTTTCAATGGGAAATCATATTAGGAGCCAATGACTACTTAGAATTTGTTAAGTATTATTTTCTGAAATTATATCATTGAGGAGATATTCTGAATGTGCGAATATAAAAACCAACTTTACCCCAATACATCACTTTATTACTCTAGTATATGCAGTCCAGACAAGACTGAACCCGTTGAGAACCCGAAGCCCATCTTCAGTGAATCAAATTCAGTTTTTACAAAGAAAAAAAGGTTGCATGTACAAAAGCGCTTAGCTGTGTTATAACAGGGTAAAATGACACAACGACCGGCAGAAATGAAACCTTATTTAACACATAATCTACAGCAGCTCGTAAACACGTGTCCCGCACTAACTGCGCGTCGCTCCCACGCGTGTGCAGAAAAAAAACCGAGCTAAGCGTTAACAACCTCCACGCGCGTGACCACTCCAAACAAACAACTGAACCAACTCTTACCACTTTAGCCTGCCTCAAAAACTCCTTCGCAGCTTTGGCGAACTTGTTTTCCACGAGAAACGAGTACACATGTTGGTAGAGATCGCTAGGAACCGTGCTGTCCTCCGCCATCTTCGTTGCACTCACGTGGAGGAGGAGCGCGATAGGTTATTTCATCGTCACGTGGAGGCTCGGAAAATGGCGCACAATAAGTGCGTCATGCTAAACATGCTATTTTAGACACTTCATTGTATCATTAATGTAGCTTTATTGTATCAGAGATCTAAAATGCTACTAAGAATGCAATTTAAGGTACATTTTTATTGAAAGACTTCCTTCAAATCGGCTCAGATGTCACTTTGGTTTTAAATGTTTTGATCTACATGAATTGGAAAATGTTAATACCTCTCTTATCCATTTTTATTAAAATCCCCAAAATTAAGTTAGTTAACTTTACTTGTCCCCGTAGGGAAATTTCATGCAGCATACACTTAGAGACATTTCACATTTATATAAATAAATCGTATAAAACATTGTACCCTACTCTAAATAAATATCCAGTCTACTAGCCCTCAAGGAATTTCAAAACTTAATTGCTTGAGGTACAAATTATAATTTTGTCCTGTTTCTCAAAATATCTGAGAACACAATATTGATGACTTGATGGTAACAAAGGATGCCTCTCATCATTGACAATCATGACAGCCTTCCCTGCTGAAAAATCCAGCTTAAACCAGCCTAGGCTGGTTTAAGCTGGATTTTTCAGCAGGGTTATTTAGTACTCTTTCTTTGTATATACTATTAATGCTCTTTAGTTATATTCCCAACAACGTACTGGCTGTTTTTACTTCCCCAGTTACCTCCTCTGGGCTGCAGAAGCAACATATCACACAAAATGTTGTAATACTTTCAATAAAATCGCTATAAAACATGATCAACAATGTTTTGTCAACATTAAAAGACAATAGTTTCTTTAAGAAGTACATTACCTGTTGAATTGTTTTCCTTATACAGTAATGTCCAACATCACACCCAAATATTTATGTTACTAACTGAGTGCTCCCCATTTATTAATGTGGAATGAGTTTTGATTTGTGCTCTCTCTCTCTAAAATCAATAACCATCTCCTTAGTTTTAGGAATATTTAGAAGAAGGTTTGACCTTTCACACCAGTCAAGAACAGGCCATCCTCCTTATTTAAAAGGCTCACCAAAGCGGTATCATCTGCATACTTTACAATATATTTATTAAAGAGCTTCAGATTAACATAATTAATGATGTGTATTCGTCAAAAAAAAAAAAAATTAAGTTAAAATTTGGAATTGAGGAAAATTCTTGTCAGTTTTGTGATGTTGGAACTACTGAGCAGATTTTCTTTAACTCTATCTTTAACTTGGACCATTTACGAAGTATGCTATCCATCTCAGATGCAGAAAAGCTAGTCCATCCTTTTATGACTTCTAGGCTGGATTACTGTAATGCTCTATTTGCTGGCTGCCCAGCATCCTCTATTAACAAACTTCAATTAGTACAAAAACCAGAGATCTTACCAGGTCTAGAAAATAAGATCATATCACCTCAATTTTATCCTCCTTACACTGGCAGCCTGTTAAGTTACGTATTGAATTTATACGTATTGAATTTAAAATATTACTTCTCACCTATGGTGGTGTGGTGACGTGTTTGTGATGTATGTGTACTGTCTCCAGATCCAAGCCGCCATTCATTTGAGTGGAGAAATAATTCGTGTACGATCACGTTTTATTCCTGTCACACATTAAAGTTAATTTTATATAAAGTCATAGTGTACACAACAATCTCTGGGCTTGCTGCATAACAAATACCAAAATTGAAACAATTTATAAAACAATGAATCACTTTCTGGCCATCGGATATTAGGCATGGACATATATATTGCGATTGTGTTTTTCGAAAGTATTAAATCGCTTTGAAAACGTTTATTGTTACCATTTCATGAATCTCCCAATTCAGTTGAATAAGGCGCTTGGACCCGGAAGCCGCTCCGCGTGTCGTCACACTTAACAAGCGGATAAAGCTCTAAATAATCGAGCTCCTGTTTATCTAAACAACCTTCTGTCTCGCTACAATCCAACTCGCTTTTTAAGATCTCAAAACTCAGGGCTTCTACCTAGAATAGCAAAGTCTACTAAAGGAGGTTGAGCCTTCTCCTTTATGGCTTCTACACTCTGGAATAGCCTTCCTGATAACATCCGAGGCTCAGACACACTCTCTCAGTTCAAAACTAGATTAAAGACCTGTCTGTTTAGTAAAGCATACACTCAATGCATCACTTAGCGGGTTGAAGTTTCTACATCTTACTTACATACAATATGAACAGCAGCTAAGCTGATTATTCTCTTTATTCTCTATTTCCAGCTGGGGATACTCATCCCAAGGTCATCAGATTATGCGGAGTCACTGATTGGATCCAAGTCCAGCGACAAGATGATCCCAAGGTTTCCATACCCGGGACCAGGCCATATCCTGAGCTGCTGCTGTGCTGGTGGTCATGGGGGAGTGGAGAGCATGAGACTGATTCCACTGACGCTCCAGGGACAGACGAGTCTTCGCTGAGGCCAGCTTCTAGCCTCCACCGCTGAGACTGCAGCTCTGCACAAGACTTTTGGCCAGTGGAGAAATTAAAATGGTCTGTTTTTTTTTCTTCACTCTTCTATCGGTGGTGTTTTTTTCCCTCTCCGCTTTCACCACTGGCTTGCCTGGTTCAGGAGCGGTAGAGCTGTGCATCAATGAATTTGCTCTTCAGTGTTTGGACTCTCAGTGATGATTTTAAACCACACTGAACTGAGCTAAACTGAAATGAACTTAAACACTAAAAACTGAACTACCCTGATTTAGTTACTATGACCATTTATGTAAAGCTGCTTTGACACAATCTACATTGTAAAAGCGCTATACAAATAAAGCTGAATTGATTTAAAGTTTGGTTACATTGGGTTAGGATTGGCCAGCCCAGTCAACAGACATTAACATTATTGAGCTGAAACAACACAGTTCTTGAGATTTTTTGAGGGGACAACTTGATTGTTTTATGTTCAATCCACTTACATTTTTTTAAGTTAACTCAATCGATTTGTGTTGAGACAACATGAATGTATTGTGTGGAACGCTGCATTTTTTTTTACAGTGACAACCTATTTTGAGTGAACTATCACTTTGCTCCCGTGCTGTAGGTGGCGCACTGCATCAACCCGCGTGTGTTTCCAGTGTCTCCTTGAAGAACACACACATGCACACTGGTATCTGAGACACATTTTAGCTTGATATAAACTCTGGCGTTCAAAGCTCCGGAGGATGCCTCGGTATGAGCTGTATATGGTCCTGAAGGCGATGCAGAGGCCGGAGACCGCGGCTGTTTTGCGGCGCACGGTGGAGACTTTGTTCGAGCGCGGCGCGGTGGTCCGGAGCCTGGAGAACCTCGGTGAACGCAAACTACCGTACAAGATCTCCAAACACGACTCTCGGCAATCACACGGCGGATATTTCTCCATTGACTTCCACGCGTCGCCGAACATAGTCAGCGGGCTGTTGAATCACCTTGAACGGGACGTTGACGTGCTGCGTCCGACGGTAGTAAAGAAAGACACGGAGCTCCCCAAAGGACAGTGCTGTGGAGTAGCTCGAGAAGTGAAAGCAAAGATGGCCAGTTAAATGTAAGATATCATCTGCTTTTTTTGCTCTGAGGATTTCAGTCCAAATATTCAAACATGGATATATCTGTGATATTCAACTAGCATGGTTAACAACATGGGGACCGTGTCATAAGTTGTATAAATGATATAAAACCAACGTTAACTTACCTCAATGGTTATAAGGTGTACAACATATTTATTTTACTCAAGAGCCAAATGATAATTCTTTTATTTTTTTATTTTTATTTAATTGTTATTGCTTGAAATAACAATACACATAAGAACAAATTCATGGGACCACACACCCTTTAAAAAGGTCAATAATATACAGTCATTCGGAAAAAACTATAATAATAAACAAACAAATAAAGGAAAGAGAAAGTAATGATAATAATAATAAATGAAATACATTTTAAACAGACAGGATTATACAAATAAATGAAATTACAACGACAATTAACCAACTGGACATTATTAAAGCAACTAAAATCAAGAATTTCCTTTAAACATAATATAATGAATATAGTATAATATTTCATAAGTTTTAGATTTTTTTTATAATATGAAGTGATTTTAGGAGTGAGTTTAGCTCAATTCTAAAACTCTCGAGCAATTTTAATTGGGTTTTAACAATACAACCATGTTAATAACCATAACATTAGATGACATCATGTACAATAATAAACAAGGAAATAAAGACAATCAATCAAAAGAAAATAATAATAACTCTCGAGTGAATTTTTTTTTTTATTTTTTATTTTTTTTTATTTTTTTTTTTATTGAATGCTTGAAAAACAATAACAACAAATGTCATGAATTAAACAGCAACAATCCAGGGGTTTTTAGTCATTTAGTCCAAGATAAGTGCCAAGTCCTTCATCAAAGTCCTCGTTCGTATTGCTTTTAAGTTGGTTGATCCTTTAATACACTCAAAATACATTTTCATTTCAATTTTAAATTTAGGGAAAAAAGGTTTACACTTGCAAAACTTGCTCTTGTGAATATGAAATTTGGCCAACAAAAAAACAAGGTTCATGAAATAGGTATTATTTTCCTTTTCACAATCATGGAAACCAAAGATAACATTCTTATATGTAAATTCAAAATCTGCCTTCACATAAACTTTTATAAAATCAAGAACATCACACCAAAATGACATTGAATGAGGGCAAGTCCAAAATAAATGAACAGACGTCTCAGGATTCACTAAGCAAAATGAACAGTTGGTGTTAATATCATTCTTAAGTCTTTTAAGATTACACTTGTCTGGATAGCATCTATGAATCAGTTTAAAGGTAACTTCTCTTGTTTTGTTTGTTATAAAAAATTTGTGGGGTAATGTCCAAACTTTCTTCCAGGAAATATCATTCACAAAACCATTCCAATATGACATTACATAAGGTACAGTAACAAAATCTTCCTGAAACAGGGCTCTTATTTTATTATTGCATTTTGATTTAGATAAAGAAAGGCAGTTTTTACCAATAAATGTTTTCCAAAGGTCCGCTGAATGAAAAGTAATTGGAAATGAAAGTCCTTTAAAAAGCATAAAAACACCTTGTGGAATAGCATCAGCAACAATAGCGAAGTCTTTGGGGCTTACGGGAATTCCGTGCTTAACTAAAAATTCAGAGTAGTTACAAAGTAAACCCCTATCGTTGAAAAGTTGAGACACATAAATTATATCATTTTTAAACCAGTTATTGAAGAATATAGATTTGTTTTTATACAAGATGTTCTTGTTATTCCAAATTATATATGAATGAGGTGTAAAATTGTGTTTAAATATGAGGGACCAAGTTAATAACATTTGCCTATGAAAATGGGACAATTTTATGGGGATTTTCAAAATATTATAATTACAGATTAATAAAAATTTTAATCCACCTAATTTGGAAAAAATTACATTAGGGATCAGATTCCATATAGACAATGGGTTATTGAGACAGTTCTTTATATAATTTATTTTAAAGGTATTGTTTAATGTTGTGAAATCAAGAAAGTTTAAGCCTCCTTTCTCTACAGTATTCCCGAGTACAGATTTTCTAATAAAATGAGTTTTATTCTTCCAAACAAAGTTAAGGAGCATAGTATCAATTTTTTTAAGAGTGGCTGAATCAACATTTAAGGAGAGAGCAGCGTATGTTAACCTTGATAAACCTTCAGCTTTAGATAGTAAGATTCTACCCTTTAAGGACAGATCACGTTGGAGCCACATATTAAGTTTTTTCTTTGTTGTTTCAATTATTGGATTAAAATTTAAAGAGCCTCTTTCTAATTCATTTTTTGTTATTATAATACCTAAATAAGATATCTGATTTCTGATTTTAATATTACAAATTTCAGATAGATTACATTCTTTGATGGACATTAACTCGCATTTTGAAAGGTTCAAGGATAGGCCTGATGCTTTAGAGAATATCTGGATATATTTAAGGGCTACAGCAATTTGATTAACATCTTGCAGAAAAAGCGTGGTATCATCAGCCAATTGACTGATGAGAATTTGTTTGTCAGCTATACGAATACCATTAAGACCACTATTAGATATAAAGGAAGCAAATATTTGGGAAACTAATAAAAATAAATAAGGAGACAATGGACACCCTTGTCTTATACCTCGTGATAAATAAAATCTGGGAGAAGTGCCATATTTTAATTTAATTGTACTATTACAATTGTAATAAAGTGTTTTTATTGCTTTACAAAAAAAATTACCAAAACCAAATTTTTCTGCTGATTTAAAAATAAAATTGTGTTCAATTGTATCAAAAGCTTTATAAAAATCTAGGAAAAGAATAAAGCTATTATGTTCCACCAACTCATTATAGTCCAACAAATCTAAAACTAGCCTGATGTTATTCATTATGTGTCGCCCCCTCATGAATCCTGATTGAGTCTCATCTATAATAGTATCTAAACAATTTTTAATTCTTTTGGCAAATATTGTGGCAAAAATCTTATAATCATTGTTAAGGAGTGTGATGGGTCGCCAATTGTCCAAATTGTTAAGATCTTTCTTAGGTTTAAACTCTCGAGTGAATCACTGGCAAATTTTCCGGGTTTTGACGTCACGACTGAAGGACTTTATCGCGAGATGTAAACAAGTGAGAAACGAATCTTTTCAAAGCTTTGAACCAATTGATTCATGTCGCAAAACAATTCACTGATTCGAAGCTTTCGAAACATCGCAGTAGGAACACCCAGTCAAAAGGTTATTTGTTTGTTCAAAGAATTATACAAGCAAAGTAGGCCTTACATGCACAAACAAGCATGAAGTAATACAATTCCAACATTAGGCAGACACAAATATAAGAAAATGCAACATGTGGTGATGCAAGGGCATAGATTTGGCATGGATGGAGGGGACATCTCCCACCAATATCCACCAACTACTGAAATGCCCACAACAATAATTTAATCGCCTTCACAATACAAATAATGCTCTGTCAACCCTTAGTAACCTTGATGTGCTCAAAGGGTTAAATCCATAGACATATACAGTTAGATAACAGGGATAAAATAGGTAAATTGCATCACATACCTCAAAATTTCTGTACATTCACACCTCCTCAAAGCCAGATTACAGTAAAATCATGTAAATTGACTTTCGCAAGATAGGACGTGCTTCATTAATTGTTATTTGTATTATTAAGTCTTGTTTTTGTTTTTAAAAGCACTAACAGAATTTGTGCTGGTCAATCCATACGCTTTAGGGATGTACGTCCCCACCAATATCAAGAGCAAATCTACGCCCTTGTGGTGATGACAATTGTATTTGACGTTAAAAATAAAGAAACAAGTAAATCAAATAATAATATTTAATAATTTATCAAAGTTTATACAACATACACATTCAAAGGGTTGTAAAGAGGCTATAGAGTGCAAATTTGCTGAATAAAGTAGCTACTTCAGTATCTTTATGATTTGACAAAGTACTGAGTGATGAAGCCATAATAGCAAGTTCATTAATAAAGTGTAAAATAGAAAGGAGGGTATAGGTTTCTGATAGTATGAAACCCTTGGATTAAAATATAACTGTATCATGGTATCGTGATTACTGCTCTGAAGTAAGTCATTTGTAAAACCTTTTTTCCCCTTTGAACACCAAATATTTTATTTTAGGTAACATTTTAAATATTTTGGAGCAATAAACATGTCAGGCTAACTTATTAAAATAAATAAATGACATCTGCTATCTTCATTAGTTTCAAAAACACAGATTTCTTTACAAAACTTAAAGAATGCATTTAATGAAACTTTTATATATACCTGAGGAACAGTATAACAGAACATTTTTAGCTGTTTTAAAACCTTGATTTTTGCAAACCACGGTAAACCTTGAAACTGATACTAAAACACTATTCATAAATGCACAAGTCCAATTCGTAAATTCAAAACACAAATCATAAATACGCAAATCCCATTTGTAAATTCAATATGCATATCACACATGCACAAATCTATTTCTTTTATTCAAATCGCAGTTCGTAAATGCACAAATCCTATTTCGATAATTATGCTGCCTGTCATTAAATTTCTGTCATTCTCCCCTAGGGCTGTGAAGATCGCCTCATCTCCTGGATTTTGTGAAGGGATTTTTGCAGCAGGACGAGCTAGTAAACGCCAGCATCCATTATACAGTTTTGGAGAAGTGGATTTACGTCAGCTAATCATGTCATGCGTGTTTTTGTTTAGAAACTGTGTATATATATGATCTCTTGGCAGGATTTTTTTCATTGAGTATTTAATTTCAGTGTAACAATATTTGATTCACAATTTCATGCTCTGAATTAATTAATAAAAAAATATTTAAACCACTCTGTGCATTCATTCTCTTCCACCAAGAAGACTTGCAAATAATCACACTGAACAAAGGGATACAGCTGCGACCGGAAGTTAAAGAGTATTATATAAATTATTACCCAGTGATTGTATTTTGTTAACTGTAAAAACAGTAATTATACTGAGTTTTGTGCATGATATTAATTAAATTACTTGTTAAATTGAGTTTTATTAGCACCTAGCCCAATCTTCAATAATGTAAAAATGGTAAGTCTTGCTGTAATTAATCAAGTCACACAATTTATGCTGTATTGATGTGCGTATCCACAGCTGTATCCCTTTTAGACAAGCCGCGGTGTTAGCGTTAGTATTTAGCATTAGTGTTATCCTCCTCAGCACTAAGTGCTTTACTTAGATGTACAAATAAGGTTTTATTTATTATTATATGCAGGACTCAAAATAATCCATGTAACTTTTCCATTTATCGAATATACATAGTCAGGGGGAAAAGAGATAACAAATAACGCATTCAGAAGTTTTTAATCAACTCAAAAGCACCACTCAAGACAATCCAATCAACTACACAGTTTCTTTCAGTCCCTTATCATAACCGTTCTGGATTTTTCTGTAAAACTTTGCTGTTTAATCTTGTTTCATGCAGTGGTCTTATTGTTGTCTTGTATAAAGAGATAGGACTTGACAGATGTCATCATTCAGAGTTTGTATCTCATTATTTAAGATGTTATCTTCAGTTAAAGCGCTGCAAAGTAACCCTCATAATACTGTAAGTCATCTTTATACAGAAACAAAAAGCAGCTTAAAAACTTTTCCTTCATGTTTTCCCAACTTAAATCAATTAAGTTAACCTAATAGTTTTTACTGATGTAAGTGTGTTGAACATAATACAATTAAGTCTTCCCAAAAAACTCAAGAATTCTGTTGATTCAGTAGTTTGAACAAGCAGCAAACACAATTTGTTGAATGTATGACATGGGTCATTCCTACTATTCGGTGCCATTTGTGTCCCCAAGGCATTATTTGGTACAGAAAATTTAAAAATGCAAAAAAAAAAAACCTTTAAGCTTTTCTGATAGGATTATCCCATTTCCACAGTAGGACACAATGATAAGTGCTCAAAATTAAATTAAATGTAAAATGATTACGCTAATTACAGAGCAAGTAGCTGAATTGCCATGTCCCAGGTCATTTATAAGCTCAAGTTCAGTTACAAATATAACTTAGAAAAAACTAATAAATACTAGACTTTTCATTGATTTTGTATTGTCATATATACAGTTGAAGCCAGAATCATGAGCCTCCCTGCCCCCCTCCCCCCAATTTCTGTTTAACGGGGAGAGTAGATTTTTTTCAACACATTTCTAATCCTAATAGTTTTAATAACTCGTCTCTAATGACTGATTTCTTTTATCTTTGCCATGATGACAGTAAATCATATGTGACTAGATATTTTTCAAGACACTTCTTAACAGCTTAAAGTGGCATTCAAAGGCTTAACTAGGTTAATTAGGGTAACCAGGCAAGTTAGGGGAATTAGGCAAGTTATTGTATAAAGATGGTTTGATCTGTTGACTGTTGAAGAAAAAAATAGCGCAAAGGAGCTTATAATATTGACCTTAAGATGTTTTTTATTTAACATTATCAGACATACTGTGAAAATGTTCTTGCTCTGTTAAACATCATTTGGGAACTATTTATATTATTTATTATTTATAATATTTATATTAACTTAAATAAGAAAAAATATTCGGGGTGGGGGGGGGGGGGGGGTTAATAATTCTGACTTCAACTGTATATAATACATTTCACTAAAAGCAATTTTTTTAGGGTTTTCACCTTTAATCGGATGGTAATCAATAAATTAAAGATATTTTTCCCTCATCAACATGCTTTAAAAATACATTTCGCAGTTCTGAACGCAACTGAAATAGATTTGATTTATTTATTTTAGATAAAAAATATCATACATAAAATATCATTAACAAAAAATATATATATATACATTTCAACATGGTCGAAAATGGAGTGGGATGAAGCACAAGCTTATTATTTTGCCACCCCATTACCACATACTTCATTCGTCTATTACTTAAACTTATTTCTTCTTTTACTCATCACTTTTTTACATGAGACATTTTTATCCTTTTGGCATCTTTGACATTATTTATTTAAACCCATTTGTACCTTTACATTTTGTAACATAGACCCCCCCCAAAAAAACAGTACTGGAAATAGCCATTAGTTAAAGTTTTATTATACCTTTCTCATTTTATCCATTTTCAGTCACCTTCATCATTATATTCCTTTATGAATATATATTTATACAACTTTTTAAACTGATTATTCTGACATTGTTTGAGAGTCCGATCTAGACTGTTCCATAATTTCACACCACAGACAGACATACACAAACTTTTTAAAGTCCTTGTTTTCACCCTCCTAAAATCTAGTTCGTCTCTCAGGTTTTATCCCCCTTGTCTTTCTTTAAAAAAAAACTTTTGTTTGGATTTTGGATGTAATTTATTCATGGCTTTAAACATAAATTGTGCTGTTTTAAATTTAACCAAATTATTGAACTTGAGTATCTTTAGGATTTGTATGCTTCAAATACCCCACATCTTCCACCAGTCTGATTTTCCTCACAAAATAATTATAGCACCTTTGATTGCCTTGCTTTTGTACTTTTTGTACTACATTTGTCAAAACAAAATGATAGATATGGGAGTCCTAAAGGGCAAAAGAACTTTGCAATTACTTCTCGCATGCATACTGTGAGAGGTCTTTGCATGAAGAATTGACTGAAACTGCTATTACACCGAAGTGAAATAAAAAGACTGTAAACTGTTTAGTGTAAAAAAAAAAACAATGAGACAATCTGCCTGAAATGTTCCATATTATTAAAATGTTATGGGCAAACTTTGTTTGTAGCTAATATTACAGTAGTTTTGAGCAAAAGATGTTACCAAAAGGCCTGATGAATCAATATGATACATAATAAATTCATGAAAACTTGTATATAGTAGGCCTATGAAAAATGGGGGGAGGGGTGGGAGGATTCTTTACTTTAAATCTGACAACATGATGGTGTATTTCCGCCACCAACTAGTATGGAGTGTGGATCATTATGACTTAAACAGCCCCCACACCCCCAATCTCCCTTACCCATCTTTTTTATTAATTCCTCTATCATAAATGAGGTATTTTGTAGAATGTCATTTGCTTCGAACTTATATCTCTTCTAAATTCTTACCAAGAGTCATTCTTTCATCTTTATACTTTATACAGTGTAATATAACTTGAAGAGAGAGCTTGATTCTTTTTTTATTTTTTTTATTAACAAGAACCAGCATGTACAATTTTCTTATACAATACAATACAATCACTTTACATTTCTTAACATGAATGAAATAAGTGAGAAAAAAAGAAAGTAAAGGAGAAGAGAAAGAAAAAACAGAGGAGAGGGCACATATTTATTAAATTACATACAAATATATTATGCACATTTTTCAATTTTAGTCATTAACAAGAGTTATTAATGCACTTTTTCTACTGGAAATGCATATATACAAACATTTTATGTAAAATGTTAAAGGAGGAGCATATATTAATTGTTTTAATTACTATTTTGAGACTTGGAAATCACTTTTATATACATTTGAATCGCTTTTTCTAACTCCATGAAGAGAGTTTTGCTTTTGGAAAACTTGGATTAATGTATGTGAAATTTACATAATAATAAAATAAAATTTATAATAAAACCAGCATCTTTTAAAGAGCGATCCTTAACATAAAAACCCAAAAATCACATGTTTATTAGATAAGGAAAAGGATTTTAAAATATTATGCTTCAATAAAAAGCTTCAACATTGATCCAAAAAAGTCGAGTATAGTGGCAAGACCAAAATAAATGTGAAATAGTTTCTTTAAAGCTTTCACAAAAACAGCATTCTAGCTCAATATCAAATTTACATTTTTGTAGAAATAATTTTGTGGGATAATCTGAAGTAATTTAAATGATATTTCTTTAGCCTTATTTGTAATAAAACATTTTTGAGGTAATGACCATACTTGAGTCCAGTTTATATTATTAAAGATATTGTTACAGTAAAAAAGGAGAGTTTGATTCTTGTGTCCCACATATATAGACACGCCCCGGTCACGCGCGTGCGCGGACGGACGGTCAGCTGACAGTGAGATCAGCATAAAGCCTCATCACACGACCTCGCGACTCACTGCAGCATAAACAACACCATCACCCGAACAAGATTACTCTCAAAACGCGACACCGAGGTCAGACACAAGCGGTTCCTGAAGTCATGATGCTTCTCACGCTTCTTTTGGTCACCACAGGTAAAGTATATCTCACATTATTCACTTCAGTCTGCCTTACATTGCGTGTTTTCATAATAAGTGTGTCAGAGCTGCAGTTAATGGCGCTGGAAGTGTTTGGTAAACATGTCATGTAGGAGCCGCTTAAATGGCAACCGTGGTTTCATTATTTCAAATTACAGCATTTTAAAATAACTATTAGCGCATAATTAGTTCTAATAGGATAATCTTCATCTTATAACGCAAAAGAAGTAACGTTACCGTTTCCTGGTTTGTCAATAAGCAGTTTCGTATTGACGTGCTGTGCTAGGCAAGATGGCTAACGTTAAACTGTTTTAAAACGACACTTGTGGTGTCTTTTGTACATCATTTAACACGGCTTGAGTTTATGTTGGCTTTGTTGGTATCTGCTTGTTTATATACACATAATAATCTTTTTTTTTAATAGTAACATTGTGTTTTTGCGCAGGTATTTTTAACAGGTCCAATGTTAAACTCTTACTAAAATCTGTTATTAGCATATTTTCTTCTGAAACCGTTGAAAAATTTCTTGATGATGATGAGGATAATAATAATAATAATAATAACAACAACAACAACAACAACAACAAACACATCAATAATAATAACAATAATAACAACTATTACATTTTGTATATATATATATATATATATATATATATATATA